CCCCCCTCTCAGCACCAATATAGTGCGCATGCGAATGCAGATGCCTCTTTTTCGGTTTGGGGTTTTGGGGAACCAACAGAACAAACCCAAGGCTAAACTCGTGAGGCGGCTGAAGGCTTGGGAAAACCCGTGGCTGAACCCCAGGTGGCTGAACCCGAGGCGGCTGAACCCATGGAGGCTGAACACGTGGCAGCCTGAACTCAAGGCTAAATCTTGGCCTGCTGTACCTGAGGCTGAACCCAAGGCTGATCCCGAGGCAGCTGAATCTGAGGCGGCTGAATCCGAGGCGGCTGAACCCGAGGCGGCTGAATCCGAGTCAGCTGACCCGTGGCTGAACCCAAGGCTGAACCAAGGCTGAAACCATGGAGGCTGAACCCAAGGCTAAACCTGGGTCAGCTGTACCTGAGGCTGAACCCAAGGCTGATCCCGAGGCGGCTGAACTGGAGGCGGCTGAATCTGAGGCGGCTGAACCCAAGTCAGCTGAACCGGAGGCGGCTGAATCCGAGTCAGCTGACGTGAGGCTGAACCCAAGGCTGAACCCGAGGCGGCTGAAACCATGGAGGCTGAAACCATGGAGGCTGAAGCTGTGGCAGCTGAACTCAAGGCTAAACCTGGGCCAACTGTACCTGAGGCTGAACCCGAGGCGGTTGATCCTGAGGCGGCTGAACCCGAGGCAGCTGAATCCGAGGCGGTGGAACGCGAGTCAGCTGAACCCGAGGCGGCTGAATCGGAGTCAGCTGACCCGAGGCTGAACCCGAGGCATCTGAACCCAAGGCTGAACCCAAGGCTGAGCCCGGGGCGGCTGAACCCAAGTCTGAAAACAAGTCTGGACTCAGGCCGATCTGGACTCGAGCCTGTTGAACCCGAGGGTGACCCGGAGGCTGAACCCGAGGGTGTAGTTGGCAGAGAGGCGCTTAGTAAGTACCGTGGGGTGAAATTCCACTTACAATTAGTTAGGCCGTCAAGATGTGAGCTGATCGATTGGGCCAGGCTCCACTACAAAACATGGCGAACCCAAGGCTGAACCCCAGAAAGGCGGTTAACCCGAGGTCTGGGTAATTGCGAAGGGAATGTAACACCCTTGCCGCAGTGCTGTTCAGGAAAGAAGTCGCGTGGTTGTGGGGTAGAGACTGCATCTCTGCATTCAAGAAATTAAAGATGGCATTAATTTAATCAAGTACCCCTATGGTAAAGATAGCCGACCCCTCTCTGGGCCTCCTCAGCCCTCGTCCGTGCAAGCATGGCCTCGAACTGGCCACCTCGGCCTCAAGAGCCAAGTATCATAACCACTACAGCCAGGATGCGGTGTTCAAAAGCGTAACCATACCAGCCGTGATATCCACCCCACCCATGCAAGGCTGTAGTGTCCACGCTCAACACACTCCGTACACAACACCACACGCAACACCACACACGGACGCATAACTGATGCAAGGCAATCTGGAATAAGGGTCGTGCTACCGCAAGATGATGGAAAGGAGTACCGCCCAGTCGAGTTCATGTCTAATCGTCTGCCCTCGGAGAAGTAGCAGCGTCTACATATTAGAGACAGACAGTTGTATGCGTTGCATGAGGCACTAGATACATGGAGACATTACCTCCTACTGTTTTCACCCGAATAGAACGCCCCTGGTCATTATCGCTGCATCTGGACCAAAAGTTGTGCCAAATATAGCTATAACGACCGTGCGTTCTATTCGGGTGAAGATGGTAGGCCTACCTTTTAACCACCAGTACCTCGCTCAGCTATTGAATCCGAGCCTCCCAGCACGCTGCGCGCCAAGTCCTGCCGAACCGCCGTTGCAATTTTCTTTTTCGTTTTGCCTGCGGCCTCCAGCCAATGCGGTCCGGCAGGCCGAAGCCCAAATGGCGCGGCGCATATACGGGAAGCGCCGCGGCCGATAGCTGGGCCAGGTACTGGTGGTTTAACATCTATTTTCAGATCATGAGACGCTGCGTTGGCTAAGGACCCTACATTAGGATATCAAATAACCTAGGTAGATCGCAAGAGTGATTGCCCAATTTGACTTCGGGTTGAAACTACCATCTTTACCTGAATGCAACGCCCGGTCATTATAGCTGTATTTGGCACAACTTTCAGCCGAGATACGGCTATAATTATTGGGCGTTCTATTCGGGTGAAGACGGTAGTCAAAGGCCAGTATAACGCTGTAGCCGATGTGCGTGCAGCCACAAAAAAAATAGAAGAAAAGAAACAAACACCCCTACGTGATACCAGGTAGATACCTAACCCAAAGTCAAAGTGTGAGAATGCGCTCAGTGAGGGCATTACGGCAAGGGGGTCAGGTCCACGGAAGAAGGAAAAGGACAAAAAAAATTGAAACTGAACTTAGGCCGGGAAAGCGGGTTCAAACATTCTGCAAAGGAATAGTGTGGGCATGCCCTCCTCCGCAAAGTGTCAGCATCCCGTGGACCGTGTCGTGCCTCCCTGGCGGGGCACCAAAACTGAAAAACGAAAGAAAACAAGAAACACAAACAATGAAAACCTGAAACTGGCCACTATAGCGGTTAGATACGAACGTGTGAGTTTTGGTGTGAGCACAACTTGGTGCATGGCCTTCCCCGACATGATCTTTTGTTTTTCTTTTTGTTTTTTCGAAGGGGCCCACAAGGCCAAACTGCCGAGCCTCTTCCAACCCCCGAAAAGTTAGGAAAAGATGGGAAAACAGCCAGTTTTGAAGTTTTCCCATTTTTTCCAAGAGTGACAGTAGTGGTGGTTTAATATTTTAATATTTTTTTACGTTCGCGTTCGGAGGGTTTTGGCGCTCGTTCGCATTGGGAGGGTTTTGGCGCTCGTTCGTGTTCGGTCGCGAACGAACATTCGGGTTCGATCACCGAACACAAACATGATGCTACACGGGAGGAGTATGTGTCCTCCATCATGCAGGGGTCATACTCCATTTTCTTTTTGTTTCTCTTTTTTTTTCTTTTTTTTTCAAAAGAGAGGGTGGAAACATCCAAGAATACGGTATCCATGAGAGAAGCGGACGTTCAAAAAGATAATGTCAAAAATGTGAAAACGTTCGAGGGTTTGGTTGTCCATGAGAGAAGCCGACAAAAAAAGACCAAATCTCCAATTTGCGAAAGCGTGCAAGGACTTGGTGTTCATGAATTGCACGCGTAAAAGGAAGCTGCTCAGAAAATGCAGTTTAGCCAACAAGCCTGAGCTCAGTTGGTACACCCACAGACTGTCAAAATACAGACCCCAGTGCGAATCCAGATTCAATCAGCTGAACAAAAAAGCAAAAAATCGCAACGACCTGGGGCCGGGCAGTTCAATGATGATATCGCAAGATTCTCAGGCCGCATTCCACATTTCTGTTGGACGCCGTCTTTTTTGGACTTCAGCAGCTTCTTTCTGAAAGGCTGGTACTTATGTCAATTGATCGATCGACTGTTGTGTGGCAGGTTCGACAGCGAGGGTGCAAACTGGGATGTCTACTGGAAGGGCCATCCCGATCCCGACCTCTCTGTGGAGAGCATGAGCTCAATCCAAGCGGTGAGGCTGAATGAGATGACAATCAGTGGCAACTATGATGGATCAGTGACTCTTCTCATCGCGCTATCGCATGGGCTGAATTGGAACATGGTGCGTGCAATCGCCATTTACTGCGAGTGCTCGGAGGTCTTTGGAGGCGTCGTCATCCTCGGACAAGGGGATCTCAATTCGCCGGTTTTGGCGTCCGTCTTAGCAGAGGTGTTCCCACGCGGTGAACCGGGACGAAGCAACAACAGCTTGGCCTCGGATTCCCGGAGCCCTGTCTCTGTTGAAGGCTACCGTGGCCGTGAAGAGCCCCATCAGGGATCAGTGCAGTCGTCAAGCGTATTTATTGCCCCTCCACTTGCGCCGTTGGCTGAAGATTCTTCAGCTATGGCAGTCCAGTCATCTGAGCACAGTCCTCGCCAAGATTCCAGTGCAGCACGATCTGCAAGTGCTTTCGCATCGGGTGTCAATGCTCGCTCGCAGGAAACCGAGTCTCTCTCGGTTGGCCAAGCTGAGAGCAGCAGCCCCGCAGCCGCTGGCATCAGTGGAACGTCCGTTTCTCCCGAGGGGCATCGTGGGAAGCCATCCCCGGTAACGTCTTTGCCGTCGTCCGCATCTTCGCCGTTGATCTCAACGTCTGCTGTGCCATCATGGAGCCCCGGCGATAACTCATCAGGTATCGCTACCCGCTCTCGGGAAGCCCCATCCGCCTCCACTCGGAATGTATCGGACAATTCAGAAGGATCCTTGACCAAGCCAGATGCAGATTCTCCTGGCATCTGGGAGCGCTGTGTCATGCTGATTGAAGACATGCTGAATGTGTGAGTACAATTTCCTCACCTCTTGCTGATGATGACTCCCTCAATGGATAATCTAATTGGAGTTGATTTCCGGTTGCTTTGAGGTCTTGCCTGCAACCCTTTTGTTTTTTTCTGTGAGAGGGGGTTAGCCCTTAATAAGTTATAATAACTTAATAAATTAATATTATTTTATGATTTTTATCGATATATTTGAGCTCTGATCACTTTTCAATATTTTTTTAATCGATCTGTGAACTCCTGATCTCTTTATCGACAGTTATGTGTGTGTACCATCCCAGCCACATGTTCCAGGTTCACTTGTGGTGGTGGAATTTGTTTTTAAACTTGAAAGTAAAAAAAAAAAAAAAAAAGGGGGCTAAAAGAGTGCACCCATAAGGAGCTAGCTTTTTCATAAAAAACAAACAAACAAAAAACATAGGGCTAAAAGAGTGCACCATGCATGTCATTCATTAACCAAGGGGTCAAGACCTTGTAATCTGCCAAATCATTAGAATTTCATTATTTCATGCTTTTTTTTTTTTTTTTCCTGTTGAAAGGGGAGGAGGTAGCCCCTGCCTTTACTGTGCTCATCTGATTCCGTCAGGAGTCGAACTCATGTCCTGTTCCATAACAATTATATGTGTCTAGTACCATTCAGCATGTGGGCTGGTTCGTTAATAATTTCACATTATTTGAATTTTGAATTCGTTTCAGGTTCTT